TAATAATAATAATAATAATAATAATAATAATAATAATAATAATAATAATACACAACAAAGACTTTGGCTGGGCAAATCAAAATTCAGTTCTTCTTCCTGTATGCCAACATAAGGCAAGAAATGCATTCAAAGCCATCTGTTTAAGCAAACTGCCAATAGAAGATGAAATACCTTGTATTCCTCAGATGTGAGCTCAATATGGAACTGTATGGATGTCTTACAACTCAGTCATGGATCCTAATGCAAAATCTAACACACTAGGATACCTTGTGGCTTTCTGATTCTCTCCAGAGGAACTCAGAATTACAATGATTTGCACTTGCTGTTCTTGCCACTTGAAAACAGGCACTCCAGGGTTAAAACACTGGAGGATTTATTTATATACTGTAGCGTTCAATAACTTTTCATTTAAAAGATACTTTATTTCATTGTTGTTGTTTACACTGAAAGCTGCTGAATCAAATAACCCAAAGAATATAAACTAAAATATGAACAGCTTTATCTTGGTAAAAAAATCACAGGGACCAAGAAGTTTGAAAGATTTAATAAACCAATACAAATTTAAACCCACAGCAGACCTTCTTCGCTCTGGGGCCATAATAATTACAACTGGAAAGAAGTTCGATATTTTAAGTAGAAACTATCTGGATTCTGATTTTTATATATGAGAATCTATATGCAATCCATTCTCTGTTCATGAAATGTTTTCCATCCTTTCCCGCCATACTCTAGCAAAGAAGAATTCTTGCACTGTGAGATGCTAAATATCTATCCTATTTCTATACTAGCCCATCTTCCTTAGGAGTCTTTGTTCAAATTGGAAACTAAGGATTACTTGGCCTTCCATTTTGAGTCTTCTCTCAAGAATACATATTCGGTTTTATTGGATTAACTGTTGCAAAAAATAATAAAACAAAACAAAAACAAAATAAAATAATAGAAGAGTTTAGAACAATAAAAGCCAGAAAAGAATCATGAATATTGAGGACGAATAAAATCAACCTATCCTTTTAACATTTTTTTAAAAATCCCATAAAGAGTGTGTACTAGTTTAGTACATTACTATATCTTTATATTATGTATTCAGTTACTAATCGATAGTCTGATATCTTATCTTATTATTCAGCAAGAAATAATCTTCTCTCCCTTCAGTTCTGTACTGCCTGGGCTATTGACATAATCTGTCCACCCCCTCACCCCAGATATTTTCATTAACAAAAGGGAATAATTTTTATTTCATTAAAAAAGGGATTAAAAGGTTTTGATTTTGAGATCTATACATAGTTACCTACTGTAAGTATGAAAAGTGGAACCTAAATATAGATTCTAATTTTAAGTCTCATGTACATTGTGATCAGTTTAGATTTTACATTTAAGTTGCAGGTAAACAAGAGAATATAATTGTTAATGTGAGGATTGATTGATGGGTGTCATTTCCATGATCTAAATAATCTTCTTTTAGTTGCTTTATATTAGATCTTTATATTAGAAATTCAGTATGCCAAAAATCATTAATAGGATAAATTGCATCAGCACAAATACACCACAGTGAACCTATTGATGCTCTTTTGAATGCCTGGCTGGAGACCCTGCACCATGAATTTTCAAATGGATGAATCCCGTATCAGGATTGAAAGTGTAACCTGAATAGGACTAGTCTAATGGTAGAAATAGCATCAAGGAGCAATGGCTTTCCCTTTTGCATTAACTGACAGCATCATTTAACCTTTTCTGTTTGTTTCATAAAAATCTCTCGCCTTCTGGACTGAATTACAGAGGTATCTCTGTTGCTTAAATGTTAAATACTCCTTCCAATCTGTCAAAGGCTGTGAGTGTGATGCTTTCTTCCTCAGTTGCTAGAGCTGTACTTGTAAATTACCCACAAATTCTCTAAGATTGGGTAGATTTCTTCATGTGGAACTACCATCTAGAACTCAAATGAATGATCCCACAACTTCCTCCTTGTCTCAAAGAAGATCCATCAGCCAGGGTTCAAGTCCTGGCTGAAAAACTTTAGCTCAGCATTGTCTCTGCAGTGCAGAAGTATATTAGTCCATCATGATCTCCACCAGTGGTGGGATTCACTTTTTTTTACTACTGGTTCTGTGGGTGTGGCTTGGTGGGTGTGGCATGGGAAGGATACTGTAAAATCTCCAGTCAGAGGCGGTATTTGCCTGTACTCCGAACTACTCAACATTTCCGCTACCGGTTCTCCAGAACTGGTCAGAACCTGCTGAATACCACCTCTGATCTCCACCCAGAAGCCAAAACCTAAAAGATGATGAAATATATTTCCCAGCTGCCTCAGCAAGCTTGGCCAATGTGAAGGGATACGTATAATTCCTGATGCGCATTCAATTTTAGAATGTCACAGAGTGGCCCATAATATTTACCTCAAAGATATGACCAAAGCAAGTTCCTTTCGGATTAAATTAAAATCCAAAACAAAGGAGAACATAGCTAATTTAAATAATAGAGCTGGGAGCAATGATTGAGGCCAACTCCATGTTCAAGAGCAAGGCACTAAATTAAAGCATTCCAGATGGGGAAAGTCCAGGGGTGGGATTCCACCGGTATAACAACCAGTTTGGTGATTGCACGCTTTTTTTACACGTGTGTGCTCAGTGTTTAAAAAAGCACTAATACTTACCTTCTACTGCAATCCCTGTGAATAAAACAGCTGAGGCACGGCAAACCACTCTGCCAGCGAATCAGCTGTGCTCTAACAAAAGGCAATAAAGCACAGGAAAGAGCAGAGGCGGGCAGGCGGGCCCACATGCTTGTCGCAGCGAACCGGTTCACTGCCAGCTGATCTTTGGAGCAAGGGATTCACCGGAACCGGTAGAATCCCACCCCTGTGAAAGTCCTTCCACCTCTCTAGACAGATAGTCCTTAGTTTAGGTCCTTAAACTGGTCTTAATTTTGCTTTGGTATGTGATATTGTGCGTATGTGTATTTCATGAAACAGAATGGACTGCATGTAGATTCTCATATTGCTCTCCATAATAACTGCTGCACAGGCTGCAACATCATTTGCAGCATGAAGAAGAAAAGGGATCAATGTTATTTTTCTAGCTACTGTAGCAGTGGTGGGATTCAAATTTTTTTACTACTGGTTCTGTGGGCGTGGTTTGGTGGGTGTGGCAGGGGAAGGATACTGTAAAATCTCCAGGCAGAGGTGGTATCTGTCAGTTCCCCAAACTACTCAAAATTTCCACTACCGGTTCTTCAGAACCGGTCAGAACCTGCTGAATATCACCTCTGTACTGTAGGATAATTTTCAGAAAATGGTCTTTGCTGAGAAGCTTCCAAGACCTTTAGTCTTGATATGTTCCTATGAAGCGTCCAGCCTTGGAAAACAGAAAAAGTTGATTCTTTCCCTTTCCTATAACTGGAAATAGCCATTGTGACTTCATAAGGAGAAACAAATGTAACTTCATTTCCAGGTAGTTTATTTGATAGGAATAGTTGCAGAATAGCCCAAGAATTATTGTTAGAGAAGAAGCTCTTCCTGTCTCGTATGGGATACTGTTATTCACTGTATGCTGAAGTTTTATATTTCTCTCTTACTTGTTGTTAGTGAAACAAATATAACATTTCTAACCAATTAGTTTAATATCTTCAAACTTAGGGAAACAATATTCATTTGTTTTTCTGTTTCTTTTACTACATTGTTTGATGAAGGTATTGCCAGATTGACACAAAATCTTTTAATGTAAATTTATTGTGAAATCCTCATATGCTTCTATATTCTGTACTCAAAGTTTCTATAAAAACATCCTGCTATTAGTGTTGTATTTCTGGCAATAAGGGGAAAGCAGAATATTTTAGGTTGATCTTTGTCTAATTTGGTTTGGATTAAAACACGAGATAAATATTTGCATTTTATAGTTAAATTTAGGATGAATTTCTGCTCTCCAAATAACCTTACCAGTTAATTTATAAAACATGTAAAGACTGCTTTTGAAAATACATTGAATTACCATTCTATTTCATTATAGTGGTTTCTATTTTCCTGATTTTAAACTATATCACTTGACTTATTTGCTAATGTCAGTAATGCAATATATTAGAATAAAAAATATATTAAATATGTGCTATTAAGATTTATTACTTGGCTCCCTTGAAATTTTGGCAAGAACTTCATCCCAATTACAACAGAAGTATTGTGATATTTCTAGCACCTAAGGTGATATTTGGACATTATTGAGTAAATGTTCTTAATTGAATGACATATTTTAAATAAAAATGTAAATATTTTTCAAGATGTAAATACTGTTTCAGTACTACGCAAAAGTTGGCAAAATACAATATTTCTTCCACTTTCAGGTTCTTTTTTTTTTTTCAATTTTACTTTATTTTTCCACTATGCATGTCATTTACTACTTTGTGATGTTTAGTTAATTATAAATAAAATTTCTATATACCACACTAATCAGTTTTATATGTTTCCTGTTCCTATTTTAATTGTAAGGAAGCTAATAAAGCTGAAATGGGAAAAAAAGAGTTATAATTCTGAATCTGCATAAGTGCAGGACTTACTACTGCTTTATAAAGTGGCTTTTCTTCCTCATTAATACATCAAATGAACTTATTTAATTGGTTTTTTTAAAATATGAAAATACTGTAAATGTGTACTGGGAAAGCTTTTCTTTCTAAACTAAAATGTCAATCTATATTTCTCAAGGTGAATTGGATGGCATTTGGAGTAATTATCTATAAAGTATTTCGTCAAACAGCTATGCTAAAGCCAGAAGTTAGCTGCTATGAAAATGTCAGGTAAGAGTCACTGGCCACTCCCACGCCCGGTTTAAGCGAAGGGGGGGGGAAATCCCAATATGTCATGTGATGCTGCTGTAACAATGTGAGTTTGACACCCCTGCTCTACATCATCATTCAGAGTTAAAGTTTTGGGCGTATTTTTTTTAACAACAAATATTATATATGGGAAAGAAACCAAACCTGAGATTAAGTCTAGCTAATATGACCATCTTACTCTTGAAAGCCAGATTAAAGTTTTAATATTGCATAAGAATCCAAATCCTTTAGTAAAGGGAGCCAAAGATATTCTTAACTCTCTTGTTCTAAACTCTCGGAAGGGCTTTTGATGTTTCACTCCATTTCCAGAGAGATTATAGAAATAGGTGTTCCTTTTTTTTAAATTCCTTCACCAGGGTTTATTTTTTATTGTTATTCTTTTTTTTTATTTCATGGGATGCTATGATTTTTCCATCAATCTGCTTTCTTTAAAACTGATTTATAGAGCCCTTGAAAAGCATTTGTGCTGGAAAAGCTGGAATGTGCTATAGGGACCATTGAAAGCAACTTACTGTTTTTGTTGCTTGGAAACATTCATGTTGTTTCAAGTCATTGCACTAGATTTATAGTTAGGATTTAGCAGCTCTTTGATTGATCACTTTGCTCCCATTCTCCATCTGATCAGCTCTCAACAGAGCGCCAAGCCTAATGGAGTCAAATGGTTATACTGTACAAATCTAAGGAAGCAGCATGAAAAGAGAGACGATGCGGGGGTGGGAGATGTGTGTGTGAGAGAGAGAGGGGGGGAGGGAGGGAGGGAGGGGGAGGGAGGGGGAAACAACTTTCTGCAAAGGAAGTTCAAAACCAGTGGGTTGCAAATGAAAGAGAAAATTAATGACTGAGTCCATTTGCAAAAGCACACTGTGTAATTTGTCCTAGCTCATGACCAAAGCTGAAGTAATTTATATTAGAATGTGTTAGCATATGAAGAGAGAAATAATCTCAGGGAACCGATCTGTGAGCTGCTCGGGAGTCAATATCTTGACCCTGCAACAATTTAAACTTCCTTTGCATTGGGAAAGCAAAATGGTTTCAGAATAAGGGGAAAGTCTGTCTTTTGAACAAACTAAGCACTATCTCTGAGGCTGAAACAGAGAAAACAGCCCAAAAGTTCCCTCTGATGCCTGGCACATTTGCTGACCTCAGAGCATACCATACATTTTTTTCCCCAAGGTTTCTTAGTGGGTATACTTCATAACAGACATATGTTTTACCTTGGGGAATTGCACCAACAGTAGATTTAAAATCAAATCATATGGTTCTGCAGCACACTAGAGAAAACAGATTTGAAGATTAAGACAGCCAGTGTTTAAAAGCCATCAGCATTTCCACTTTTGTTGGTGACTGCTCAGAAAACAAAATAGGAACTTTATTCCAGCCACGGTACTGCAGCACACCCTAAAGCAGAAACCATGTCACTGCAATGCAGAATGCGAGGGTTTGTCAGTGACTCACATTTAAGGGAAGGAACTAGGAAGAGAAGCAGGGCTAACAGCTCTTCTTTCCCTTCTCCCTAGATCCTGTGCACGAGGGGCACTTTCTCTCCTTTTTCTCCTGGGGGCTACGTGGATTTTTGGTGTGCTCCATGTCATCCAGGGATCAGTGGCTACGGCATATCTTTTCACAATTTTCAATGCATTTCAGGGACTGTTCATCTTTATATTTCTTTGTGTGCTGTCACGAAAAGTAAGGTTTTTTTTCAATATACGTGTAAATAGACCATGAGGTACATTTATACAAAATTATCCTTAAAATGTTCTTCTCCTTCCTTCCATCCTTCCTTCAGTCCCTCCCTTCCTCCCTCTTTCCCTGTCTTTCTGCCAATATATTCCTCCCTCCTCCCTCTCTGCCATTCTGTCAATATATTACTTACTTGCTTGCTTACTTAGTCACTCTCTCTGTGTCTTCCTTCATCTCCCTCCCTCCCTCCCCTCCTTCCTTCCTTCCTTCCCTCCCTCCCTCCCTCCTTCCTTCCTTCCTTCCTTTAAATAGCAGCTACTTGAAAACCAGAGCTGTTTCAGAAGAGCTTGAATAAAATTGGCTCTTGGAAAGTTTGATTGGATGATTAGTCACCCAAGACCCAGTCTCAGTAAAAGAACCTTCTCTGAAACTATTACTTGCATTTTCCAAGTAGTAATCTTGGTACTCAAAGTGCAAACCAAACTAGTAAATAAAACTTCTCTGATATCTGCACTGCACTGGTCCACCACCCACAGAATAAGGGCAATACTGGTAATTATGTTTCATATATTTCATCATTTATATGGTTTTCAATATCTTGTGCTGGATGAACTGCTCAGTGCAGTAATCTAAATTAAAAGATCCCAACGAAATATATATCCTGTCATATTCATAAGTAACTGTGTTATTATCAAACTGTTCTTCCTTATAGGAAGTTTTGCCTAACATTCAATCAAAATCTGCCCATCTATTACTTAAGGCCCTTATTTCATAATTTGCAATATATGATAGAGAACATATTTGCAGTCTCTTTAGATACTTGAAAAGTGCTGGCATCTCCATTCAGTCATCTTTTCTGAAGCTGAAACAGACTCAGTTACCTCAATCTCTCTTTAGAAAAATTAATGTATATCCAGACTGCAAATGTTGAGCTGCAGCCCATGGTAAGACAGTACCCTGGTTTAATTTGTGCTATTCCTTTTCTGTCTTGACACAAGAAAAAATAAGGAAAAGGAAAAAGAGTGGGGAAAGCCTCTTTGGGTAACAATTACTGGAAGAGAAGGCCCATGGTGTTGAACTGTCATTAAATGACCACTCTAGGAATTAGTTACATGGCATCAGAGTGGCTCTTTCCCTCTTGCCTCTCTACTTCTCCCCTTACCACCCTAGCAACACAAGCAGGGAGAAGTCTGAGCAAGTCTTTTGCTGTCAGTTTTCTAATACTATGCAATCATTACTTCTTTGGATTGGAAAAGTTGCACCAGAAGTGCCATTTTCTCCCACCATTTTTCCTGCCACTCATGGCAAGAGAAGAAGTGGGAAGAAAATAAGAGAGCAGGTCTGATGTTGTCAGTTCTCCAATTCCATGGTTTCTATCTGAGAGGCTCTAAGAACCCATCCCCCTGCTGCTTCTTTCCCTATACTCTCACAAACAAAAGGAAACAGGACTGCAACATCTCTTTAGCAATCATCTTCTACCCCCACCTGCATGACTAATCCAGGTAAGACATTCTTGAAGACTGTCCAGTCTTCCAGAAACAAGTTGAATAGTTTTCTCATAAGGTGGTGTAGTCTAAAGAGTCCCTTCATCCCCACTTTCCTTCCCTTGACAGTTGGGAGAATTACTGAACACATCTTATCTCAGATGAGACACCGCAGTTGATCCAGACATCAAGGAATCTATTAACAGAAAGTAGAAAGCATGCATTAAAACTGGAACAGAAAAGTCTGCAGGGTGCCTTTGCAGTGAAGGGCAAAAGTTTTGGAAGACATGCTTATATAGTTATATCTTTCTGAAATAGTTTACAAGGCAACTGTTGCCTCTGTTTGGAGGCCTTAAGAAAGGGCCCTTTGTTTGTAGTCCCTTGTCAAAACAACACCCATTCTCTGAACTTATTCTAGGATTTAGGATACAGGAGTTAGGTATCCACTTCCATTTTATAGAAAGATTGGGGCACATCATAGAGTAACAACGATGAAGTAGATTAACTGACTCATTGATAGAATGATGAGGAAGATTGTTTTTTGTTTATTTGCACAAGTGCAAAAGGGTAACAATTTAAAGAAAGAAGGAATCATGTTTAATACTTGGGGGGGGGGGGGAAACATTAAGCAGGGCTGTAAAATTAAGTTTCCAAATTGATAATTTCAAAAAAATATTCACCAGGAATTACCAGGAATGTAGAACAGCAATAGCAATAGCACTTAGATTTATATACCACTTTACAGTTCTTTACAGTCCTCTCTAAGTGGTTTACAGAGTCACCATATTGCCCCCAACAGTATGGGTCCTCATTTTACCCACCTGGGAAGGATGGAAGGCTGAATCAACCTTGAGCCTGGTGAGATTTGAACTCTCAAATTATAGGCAGCCAGCAGATGTAGCCTGTAGTAATACACTCTAACCATTGTGCCACCATGGCTCATATTCACCAGATATGGAGAAACCCACAACATGTTTGGGATCAAGTGACTAATAATTTCTTGCAAACATAACAGTCCCCAGAAATCAGTTGGAAAGTTTATGAATAAATAAATAAACAAACAAACAAATAGCTGTTCTCCAGAGCAATATCATGCTGGCCTTAAATACCTGGTTCAGATTTGAGTAAGATCTAAAGAAAAATATAATCCAAACTAGAGAGAGTTGGAAATGCACACATTAAATGCATTATAGCAATGTTGGAGTCTGATTTAGTTTGGTGCCCCATACTTAAAAGTGAGTCAAGAATTGCCAAAATAGGCCACATTTGGTAGAAGAGGCTTAAAACACATATATTTACCTGTTAGTAAGCCAAGGTGCTCATGCTATCTTTTCATTTCAGATCCAGGATGAATACTCCAGGCTGTTCAGAAATGTACCTTGCTGTTTTAGATGCTTGAGGTAAATTGATGGAAAGCCAAGATGAGCAGCACTGTGGAAGGAAACAGAAAACGAGAGGCTTTCGGAAAAATTGCTAAATTGTGAAAGTATGAAATGAGCTACTGAGCTGTCATCTCTCTTAAATCAATTATTTTCTCTCTGGTATAGGTATTGTACTTAAATGTGCACTCAGGCACACTATATTGTATACAAAACTGCATATCTGTACAAGACAGACTGGTTTATTGTGTAACAAATAAGGCTTCTAAAGATGCCCAGGACTCTTTAGGGCAAACAGCTAAAGCTTGAAAGAGGGAAAAGTGAATCCAAGGTATAAAGCTTTTTGTTGTTGTTGTTGACAGACTGACTCTTCGTTTCATATCTAATGCTGGGAAATGAAATAATTTCACTTATTGCTATTTAAAGAGAATACAACCCATTACAGTGTTTAAAAAAGGCTTTACCTGGGTCAAAATATCCTATCCTGCTTTGAAAGGAGCCAAGTTAAGAAAATAGCAGTGTGTGCAGTTCTTTAGTTTGGGTCATAAGGAGAAGGCATAGAGCAATTTTGTTAGCTGAATGTTTATGGAAAGTTTGCAGACTTCTATTAGTTGAAGATCTTTCAGTTGTGACAATTGTAAGATGGGTGGACTTCAACTCCCAGAATTCCTCAGCCAGCCATGTTGACTGAGAAATTCTGGGAATTGAAGTCCACCTGTCTTAAAGTTGCCAAGGTTGGAAAAAACACCTGTCCTATAAAATGGTGGTGCATACTAATCATTCCTTGTCCACTTGGAAGTGGAGGGAGATTCTTTGTGTCTATCCATACAGGGCTAAGAGTATAAAGGAAATCTGCCCCATGCAGTTCTTTTAAGTCAATGATCTGCTAGTGGAGTTTTCTGACATGGCATGGTCAACAGTAATACATAGCCTACCAGTATTCATTATTCTCAAATGTTTTACTCAAAACAACCTACAGTATCTGCATAGCAAAGAAAAGGTGGGACTCCTTATGTTTGACAGAGATGTGTATTTAAAGAAAAGCTTTTCTAATGCAGTACTGCCTTAAAATATGCATTAGGGCAAGGGTCTTCAAACTTGGCAAGTTTAAGACTTGTGGACTTCAACTCCCAGAATTCCTGAGCTAACATGACTGGAGGAGGAATTCTGGGAGTTGAAGTCCACAAGTCTTAAAGCTGTCAAGTTTGAAGACCCCTGCATTAGGGCAATGTTATAAAACTTGAGTAGATCACCAGTATGGAAAGCATTTGAAAGGGCAAGTTTACAAAGCGTAGTGGTGTGACAAAGTAATCTCTCCTTAAAACTTTATGGAAACCATGTCCCATAGAAGGATCAACATGACCCTTTGAAAGTTTCACCCAATTGCATACAAACACAACACATACACACAGAGAGAGGGGGGGAGGGAGAGAGAGAGAGAGAGAATGAGAGAATGAGAGAATGAGAGAATGAGAGAGAGAGAGAGAGACAGAGAGAGAGAGAGAGAGAGAGAGACAGAGACAGAGAGACAGAGACAGAGAGAGACAGAGAGAGAGAGAGATATTACTGCAAGAATGCATGACATTAATGTCTTCCCACCCCAACATCCAACATGGTAGTCACAGTTTGTTTTAATAAATTGAATCAGATGATGGAGACAATGCAATTTGTTTTTCTGAAATGAAGAAGGCCATTACAATTCCTTTACCAAAGTAATGTTGATAGTCTCAAACAAGTGAATCACATTAGACAGGACTAATTTGATGCTGCCCAAAGCATGCCCTGGATCTTCCCAGCCCAGGTGACCTTTAGTATATGCTAGTGGAATGTAACTGATCATGCCAGGGCATGGTGCCCAAGCCAAATGCCATATGTAGTTACAGATGTGCCTCTTTCTGACTGCAGTTCTGTATATGTTGCTGTTTATCTTGCTGTATATGTGAAAACTGTATTGTGTATAACAACATTTGCTTCCAGCAAGACCTCTTCAGGCCAGTATGATCATCGGAAAACTAATTTCAAAGAGTGTGCATGCACGTGAAACCTACAAATAAGAGGCTTTCCAGAAATGCAGAATTTATCTGGTAGGCCACAGTGAGAAACAAATTCAGAGGACTGAATAAATGAGAAATGAACATGTATAAGTGTAAATCTGCTTGTTGGTTTAAATAAATCCTTTCAATTAAGAATATCAAAGAGAATGTTGCTGTTTTCCAAATGCCAAAGCATCTATAAAATAATAAATCAAATCTATGTTAACAAGAACTTGAGTGTTGTCATAGTAATTTTACCTCCTCCACCGTTCTATCTTGTAATTTCAAAGACTCTCAAATCTCAGGGATGGTGGGGAGGGCTGGGGATACTCTGAGCAAAACACCAGCAATGTCAAGGAACAACAGCAGCTGGTTGAAGAGGTCCCCTAAAATCAGTATTTGATGTAAAGAAACAAGTTACATAAAAATAGTTCTCAATCTTTTTCTAATCCAAATCTCAGCTGAATTGGAAATGCAACTAGGTGGTGAAGCTCAAAGGTACAAGCAACAAAAGCCTGTCCTTGATGTTTTCTTTTTCTTTATGGAGGAACTTTATATTTTTCCTTGTTGATTTTATTTCTTTTCTTTTTTTTAGCCGTACCCTTTGCATTTCTTTCTCTAATTCTTCTCTTTCCTACTGAATGGCAATTCCTAGTTATGGTGATTTATCCCATCGTTCGAGTCACCTTGCAACCAAAGGATTATATCAGTAATGTAATATTAATGTCAAGTTATTATTGCATTACTTTAAAAACACTCCGGACACAATGCAGCAAATTAATTATTTGCTGGTCTTGCCCTCAATTCCCCCACATAACAGCTCTCAGGATTATATTTTATTTTCAGTCCATTATTTACCCAGGCTTTTTTTTTATCAACACAATTCATCTCAAGGAGTCATTCAGGAGGTCTGCCATTACAGAACCCTTCATTGTTAGAAAAGTGCTATTATTTTTATGCAAATAGCTGGCAAGGGAATTTGAAAAAAACTGAAATCTATTCATGTTCAACAGGGTTTCATAGTCCCTGAAAAGGGCATTATTTTGTTGCAATTAGGTGGGCAATTTGGAGGAAGGTCTAAAAGGAACAACTTCTGTGTCAGCACTTGAACTCTGTTCTACACTTCCCATACTTAGCTCTACAAAGATTTGGATCAATATAAACATTGTGTGTGTGTGTGTGTGTGTGTGTGTGTGTGTGTGTGTGTTATATTGGCCCCGGCCTCCTTTTCACTGTCAGAGACCTTCAGGAACTTATTCTGCAGCCAACAAGTCTTTCTTGAAGGCCTCTGCAGCTGATAACAGAGCTCCAAATCAATCTAGGACTCCGTTATCAGCTACAGAGGCCTTTAGGAGAGCCTTGCTGGCTGCAAAAGAAATAGGCTGGCAAGGGAGGTGTCGGGGTGTGCGAGGCCTGGCGACAGCTATCCAAAGGTAAGTAGTAGGGCAGCTCCACCCACCACCACCACCCTAGCTTAATTTTTATCTGTGCATTCTGGAGTGGATGGGATCTTAATTAGGGCTTATTTGTGGGGTAGGGCTTACATTGGGCACATGTGTAAAAATCAAGTTAGGACTTACTTTCAGGATAGATCATATTTTCAGGGAAACAGGATAACAGGTCCCATCATTTTGTACGTTAGCCCATTTGAAATACCTTTATTGACAAAGTTTTGCCCTGTGGTGCAGTATTTCACTCAACTGAAGATAACAAATTATCAGACCCAAGAGTTTTAGTAATATGTAGATACATTTTAAAGTATTTAGGAAAAAAAGCCGAGTATAAATAACGTTAATCAAATCAAACATATATTGATCATTTAGAAGTTCATCTGGCAAATACTAATCCTCTGAAGCATTAATTTAACAACATCTTCATCCTCAAAATAAGAGTGAATGCCTTTTTAACAGATGTGAAAACAAGTTCTATCTGAATGAAATAAAAATGTGTCCAGCACACTAACAATTACTTTGCACAAAAAATTAAATGACATTGCTTGTAACGCCATTTTGTATCGTCTCATGTATAAATTTTAAAGAATATCCTCCTGACTCACTGGCTTACAGTGATGAGAAATACATGAAATACGTGAATACATGAAAATTGCATTCATAATACTCCTATAAAATATAAAAGGATGGCGTATACATCATATCATTTAAGATTCTCCTCAAAATGCATGGAAAAAAATGTTACAATACTGTGTTTTACTGGTAACTGATTTCCTCACATATTTAGTTAGAAACTGCAAAGCTTTTTCAAGGATATTTCTGTTGACATTGTTATACATAAATTATTAACTGAATTCCAGAAATCTGAAAATGCAAATGAATTGCAGTGATGTTAAAAACTTTTCCCTTGTTATTGCCACCAATTATTTATGCTATTTTTGATATTTTCCTGACAAAGCAGAGATACATTATGATAGCAAATATGTCAGAAATGCTGTAAGTCAATGATAAACTGCATATTTTTCATCTTCAAGGTCTTTGTGCAATATTCTACAAACTCTGAACCAGGGGTCTTCAAGCTGGGAAACACTAAGATTTTTGGACTTCAACTCCCACAATTCAACCATGCTGTCTGGGAAATTCTGGAAGTTGAAGTCCACAGATCTTAAAATTGCCCAGTTTGGATACCCCTGTTCTAAATCGTAGGAACTGTATGTATCATTTTGCTTAATCCAAATGCCCAAGAAACCTGTTTTCTTGCTATCACATCTAGAAAGTAAAGCATTTGTTCTTTAAAATAAGAATTGTATTGCTTTAGTTATTATTTCAGGGTTTCCTATGCAACGTATTGCACGGATGAAACTGCCCAGAAATGTCATTAATAACATCCTTCCATTGCTTCAACCTACAGTTTAAGTAATATGAAATTGGCCTATTTTTGAAAAGATTCATTTTCATATAAACTATAAAATTTATGAGACATTAATGGAATAGGAAAACCAATGTTTTTTCTGCATCATCTGTTATTTCTTTATATCCTTACATCTTAGCTTAAGCAAGTCTTGTGTAAATGCATGCTAAGTCCAACAGACAAAGGTAGTTATGAAAAATATCTATTTTAAAAGTGGGGATTAATCTAACATTTATGTTTTGAAGAAATAACATTGACTTCCATTTTGCAGAAGTGTATGGTGCATGTTTGGCCTGGCCTTCCAGAAGTTACAACATACACATATAATACTATTCCCTGGTTTCCCATTGTTCCCATTGCCATTAGAGAGAATAATACAAGGAGTTGATTCACTGGAGTTAAAGAAAAAAATATATAGAAGAGTTACTTTTGTGAAAATTAGAGTTCAACATATTTACTGCAGGTTATCAGTGAAATGAAGAATTAATCATGGCCCTGCCAGAAAACTGAACCAATATGAACTCAGTTAAGTATAATACTGCATTTATATGCACAACATGTATCCACACCAGAAATGCGTAGAGCCAGGATCAAAAATCCAGAGCTCCCTAAACAAGTAGCAGCATCTTTCATTATTGACCAGGCTGGTCAGGCTGCGAGTAACTGAAATTCTACAATAATTAAATATCTCAGGATAAATGACTTTTCATTGTGGATCTTTTTTAGACTTTATGCATAGATTTTATGCTTCATGCAAATAAAACATTCGTATTTATGTCCATATCTACATGCATATATGTAGATATATATATATATAGTTTTAACATATGTGAATCATAGTGAGTATCATTAATATAACACAGCAGCATCCAATGAAAGAATTACACCATATAGAAATAAAGATTTCAGTAATCTGCATGTTCTACATTAGAGGACAACTGGTGGTATCAAGATTTATTTCATGGTTGCCCTTCCTCTAACTTAAAAATTACAATTTATTAATTGGGATTTTTGATAATGGCCATGTGCTTTTTCTGGAATAGTCTTGATGTGAAAGGGGGGGAATAGGGAAGGGATAGAAACAAAAATAAAATACAAAAGTAAAAAAGAAAAGATCATACCAGATCTGCAACACACTTTGCTTACCTTTTTAAACTTGCATGAAGTGCCCAAAAGAGTACGGCAAAAAAAGTAACCCTC